AAAATTTGGTGAACGCGCACCGGGTGAGAATAGCCACAAGACTCGCCTGCACTATTCTCACTCCGGGTGAGAATAGAGGTGGCCGTGTGTAAAATATCAAGCTTAATCTGCACATTGTTATCGGAAGTTCTGATGGCCGAAGTGACAGCGCGTCTGCGCTTGAAGCCTTAGCCTTGAACTTGAAGTCAAACCATTATTTTTTTAGCGTGGGTTCGATCCCGGTCCTGGATGGGTTTTTTTGTTCTTTTTTTTTTTTTTTGCTGTTGTCCTCTTCTCGACTGACCAACAAATTGTTCCCATAATTATATCTTGTTGCTTTGTAGTTTTTTTTATGTAGTGATGACATGAAGCATGCACTATTCTGGTTTTGTCCCAAAGAGGAGCTCTACTCACAAAGTAGGCCTTAGTATAGCCTATACTTTTCCTTTTACCAATTTAGGCCTGGTTAAAGTTCTGTAGTGGCTTTCCTTGGTCTGTGAGTCTAATTTTTTTTTTTTTTTTTTTTTAGGCTCAGAAGAAGGGGGGAAAAAAAACCTTTCGGGACCGGGATTCGATGCCACGCTTGGAAGCACTGAACATTAGACTTAGAGAACGTAGACAGTAGACAGCTTGTATACGTTCTCTAGGCCTTACTTAAACTTCGAGTTGCCCCGTCTTGTTATTGTTATTCAAGCGTCTTTCAACTTAAATTTGCTCAAACTCTAACTCAGATGATTATGATTATATGTTATGAGAGATGAACAAGATGTCTACTTTTGTGCAAACAATGTCAGAAACAATTGTTAGATCTAATCTAGATCTAGATCTACCCAATATTGATCGAAATAAGACAACCTCATAAAAAAAAGGAGTCAAATCCTAGGAGGTTTATCAAAAAACTGAGAAAGCTTCCACAATTCAGGCAGAACTGCAATATTATCATATGTAGAAACGATGGCTACTCCATCTAGATCTAGATCCAGATTCTAGATCTAGTATTGGCGTTTCAAATAGCACTGGAGCTATTCAGAACGCAGCGTTGCAAATAGCACGGGAGATATTCAGAACGCGGCGTTGCAGGAAATTTATAAATAAAAATGTTGTTTACGCTTTCACTTTGACACGCACTCACAAACATACACATGAGAGTCTATGATATATAATATAGATCTACTAAGTGCACATTGGCAAGATTGGGTTGGGTCAGTTCACACTTCTATAATAGATCTTGATCTAGATTTTAGACCCCTCCTTTTGTGCCCAATTTGAGAAGAAGAAAACTGACCAGCATACGATGTTTTTATTGTACACAAAACTTACTGTACTGTTCACAGCACAACCATTCCTTCCATGAAGGAGTTAAGTGTTGACTGCCGCATATATCGCAGTGGCTGTGTTGAGAAGTTGCTTTGTTTCATCTTTGTTCTTGATTTTCTTGAACGGAAACATTTCTCAGATGCAAAAGTTTGAATTCAGGAGTTTTTGATTTTCTTTTTTGCTTCTTCTTTTGCAGAGTCAGGATTTGTGAGCTTCCCGTTACCTGGCAGTTATTGTGCTGGGACAGAACCAGACACCAATACCAGAGATCGTCTTTTTGTGACCTGTTTTGTTAATGTTTGTACCACCTCTAATTTGTAGCAAAAATGATCAAATCAGAAAATATCATGGGGATCTTACAGCCTCCTGTTCCTGAAACAGACGAGGCCCCCGAGAATGACGTGACCAACAATACCATCACCCTCCCCCTGTGGGGCCGGCTTCACTTTGTGCGGGACTCGCAGGGCCAGCTGTTCGTCTCTGGGGTTGTGGCCTATTGGATGTTTGGCACATTCTCCACCATCTTTGTGCTCCTTCACCCGGCCTATGAGGACGGCCATGTGTCGCTGCCTGTTGTATATGGTGAGTTCTGGTCAGCCCTTTTTTAACAATCGTATATCCTGCGACATAAAATTTTCTGCAGGTTTTTTTTTACTTTTATACGGAGCCTCAAACGGTCAACAGTTTCCTTCTTTTATCAACAGTTTATCCGCTGTTTCTCTTACTTTTATCCTGTGGCAGGAATTGTCAGCAGTTTTTTATCTTTAATCCTGTGACACAAATTGTGGTTGTCCTTTTGTGTATATATATGTATTCTTTTGTCACATTGCAGGTGCATATACAGTCAAACCTGCCCTGACGGCCACCTCTATTAAAGACGGCCACCTGTACAAACGGCCACTTTCCATTTCCCCCCTTGCGTTTGTTCTATATAATTTAACTGTGTAAAATGGGCACCTGCCCGCCGCGGCCACCATAGTTTAACACACAACCCCTATCACACTAAGCAATAACACCTGTCTTAGATGGCCACCTTAGTGACTCCATTACGTTTTGTCATAAATTGTGCATTGGCCCCTGGCGTTGTGGGCGAGCTGTCATAATTCAATCACCTGTCGTTGTTGTTAGGTTGTCCCTCCAACCGATCATGCTTCGTTGACCCCTCCAGCTGTTGACCAATAGCACCCAATTTTCAGCTGCTGGTAAGGTAAGCGCGTGATCCCTCATAACCCATAAGCCCCGCCCAGAACTCATACATAAATCGTAAGTGAGATGAGTGGTCACTGTTTACCCAGTCTATAACAAAGTAACAATGGACGTCAACATGAACTTGTTACAGAAGCGTCGTTCATTCTCCGAGTGGGGGCGACCCATGTGGTTTTTTTTAACATGGCACTCGGTCTTCTTCGTCTGATACATTTCGTTTTATTGTTACTCTTGTGCAAAATCAGTAACAAAATAAAAATTATAAACAAAATACAAACCAACAACAACAATGCGGCTACTTTCGATTGGGACCTCTGATGGGAATATTTTCTTTTTTTTCATTTTGATCAGTCCTGCCTAAGACGGCCATCTGTCTTACAGGCCACTTTTCTCCTTGACAATGGGTGGCCATCTTACACAGGTTTGACTGTATATATATTTGAAAGGATTATTTATTGTACATTGAATGGACCAGTATGCAGGAAACAATCTGTTGCGTAAGCTGTCAAATTTCTAATTTTATTTTTTTTATTTTTTATTGTGAAGCACCTGGAGCCACCAGGTAGGGAGAAGCTATAGAAGTGATCTTATTATTTTTATTATTATTGTTATTATTATTATCATTATTGTTATTATTATTATTGATTTTACAGTAATAATAAAGATAACAATAATTTGTCCATGTAGCTTTCAATAAGAATTTTGTCCATGTAGCTTTCAGTAAGAATTTTGTCCATGTAGCTTTCAGTAAGAATTTTGTCCACGTGTTTTTCTCGGGCAGGTTTTTACGCTGTGTCTGGCCTGTGTCTCCTGTCATTGATGCGAGCTTCCCTCACAAACCCAGGAAGGATTCCAAGCTACGACTTCAGCAAACACGCAGGTTCCATTTTTGGTGTTTTTTTAACAGTCTATAACGCGCGTAATGTTACAGGCACATAGTGAAACCCGCACATCGTTAAACACACACATAATGAAGCATGCACATAGCGAAACACGCCCACAGTGAATCACACATATAGTGAAAAGATTTTCAGGTCCCTGATTTTGTCTATACATGTATTTCCTATATACTATATGTTGGACGTACAAAAATGCACTGATATTGGAGTCAAAAGTATAATCCACTGAGCTAGGGTTATCATGTCTTTCTCAAGGACACACCCGAGTGACCACCTACCTAAACGTCCTGACTTATAATGCTTGACAAAGGCAGACGAATGATTATTATTATAATCATTCTTGCAGAAAGAACTGCAGATTCAATTTGTTTTGGGGTTTTTTAATCAAGTTGGTGAAGTCACTTTCACTTTCTCCCCCTTATCGACGTCAGTGGTGTAGCAGTTAGATACTTTGCTATTGCAAGTACAAGACATGAGTTTAGTTCCTAAGTAGGGAGAAATTTTATCAAGCATTTCGGTCTTTCTGGTAGGATGTTGTGGGCAGGGTCACAAGCCTCCTAAATTATTTAAATTGTTTCGATGGGGGTGTGAAGAACATCTAATATAGATTGTGAAGCGCATAGAGCTTGCTGTTGAGCAGGGATTTGCGCTATACAAATGCTATCTATTATTATTTCTATATAGTGAAACACACACAGCCAACAGATTTTCAGATCCGGAATTTGTTCTTATACTCGTATATTCTTTGTGTTAAGAAACTCAGGTCCCGAAGATATATATTTCTTATATATATAGGTATATTCTCTGAAGTTGAAACATACTTTTAGGTCAAATTTTTTCTTTTATATATAACATGTACATAGCAAAATTCATACATAACAAAAAGATTTCATGTCCCACCGATTTCGATATGTGCATGCTAGACTGCATACATGATACCCTGGGGTCCGCCTAAACTGAAATATCTGGGACCGCTCGATTATCTTCTGTAGAGAAGGGGGAAAAAATCACAGATTCTCTTTTCTTTCACTTAACTGCTGTTTTCTGATAAAAAGTGTTGGGTTTAAGCGTACTGTGCCATATTTTTCTCTTCCCCCTTCCATCAGAGACAGGCTGGACATTGTGCCAACGATGTAATCGCATGCGCCCGCCGCGCTCCCACCACTGTCGCCGATGTGGTCAGTGTGTCATGAGGATGGACCACCACTGCCCCTGGTAGGTTTTAAAAATGTGTCACGACGCGGTGGAATCAGGTGCCCGTCAATTTTTGGTCATGTGATGTTATTGGTATCGTCTGAAAGTTTGTTCATTTGTCTTGCTTTCGATGAAAAAAAAATTACTCATCTGTCTTGAATAGAAGTCAAGATATCTGCGATAAAAGGAGTTGGGGGAAGTCACCTGGTTTCAGAGTAAAATTAGCAAGAAAATGATGGCCAAAGTTTGGTAACTTCAATTGGTTGAGAGTTCTTGAAAACTGAAAAATGACATATTTTGTGCCTTTAATCAACGTTTGTCAGTAAATTCATATGGAAATGTGTTTTTATATGGTCATAAACAATAATTCGATCAAAATTGCCAAACTCTAGGAAAAATACCTGTTTCTTCGATTTCAATAGTTTGACAAGCACCTTATTTCACCACGATGCCTCACAAATAAGTGTGGGGGGAGGGCGGGGGGGTTCTTAACCCTCACAATGCCAGTCTATTTTTGTCCCTCGCTTCCCTCTGGCCCAGGTAATGCTGGATTCCTTGACTCCTCAGGCCCAGACAATACTGACTGTGTCAGCAATCTTTTGCACACATATTTTTTTTTTTTATTCGTTCTTCTTTTCTGTGAAGTTTTTGTTGTTAAAGATAACATAAAGAATATTTTTCTGATACAATTTGCTATCTCAGAATTACAAAATTCTATCTGACATTTTGGCTGTTTTGAGTTATTAAGACCATGAGGTTAGAAACCGAATGTTCTATCTGCTGTATCAAAATCGTAAGATTGTTCAGGGTCGTTATCAAGATATTTAAAGAATTTCATGTGAAAAAGCTTGACATATTATTGTGAAACTCAAAATTTTTTCTTTCAAATTTCTCAAAACTAGGTGCTGAGCAGATAGAACTTTGTAATTCTAGGATAGTGAATTGTTTATATTGCAGTAAAAGTGAGTGACTGGGTTTGAGGCGGCTGGCACCCAGTGAAGAAAATATGCACAACTGGGACACAGGGGAATGAGAAGTGTGAGAAAAATGTATGCTCCAAGGGGTGAAAGGGTTAAAATATAGGTGTATTTATACCCTCCTCGACACAGTTTAGATCGTTCAGAAGGCGGGCTTTCAACCCTGCTGCCATCAGGGCCAACTAGCTACACCTCAGACGCCAGTTTACGTGCTTTAAAACACTGGCAAACTGACAAGATCTTTGTAAACTCACTTTTTTCTCTCCCCCTCCCCCTACCCCTTTTCCTACCTCTACCTCCCTACTCCTCCCATCCCCTTCCCCTCCTATCCTCCTCCCCATCCCGTACCCTCCCCCTCCCTCTCTCCTCCTATCCCCCTTTTCCCCCTTCCCCTCCCTCCCCTGCTCC